TCAGCAGAGACTTGTTATCAGCCCAGCAGCTCCCAGCCCACATCCTCTTTTTTTAGCTGTCTGGACCCATTTTGGGTGACCCAGTAACAACCCTGTTATCTCACAAAACACTTTGGAGTCAGTATCATGGTAGGTCAGGGACTCTGGTTGAAATCAGAGTTGCATACAGTTCCTGGGACTGCATGGAGCACACAAAGAAACACTCCTTGTCCCAGAGTGCTTGCATACAAAAGGTGCAGTGGGAGAAGGTCCTGCTAAGGGAAAATAATTTACCTAATGCTCCAAGATCAAGACTGAGCTGTATCTCCAATCCAAGCTGAGATGAGTTTGCCATACAAACCAAGAACCTCAAAAGCCTGTGATCTTTTAAAAAATATCGTCTGGCCAGCCTCTGGCCAGGTGTGGTGGGCAGCCAGCACACAAGGGTCACAGAAAGCTGCCAGAAGTAGCTTTTACATGAAGTCCTGTTCTTCCTTTCTTCTACAGTGACATCCCCAGCAAGCCGGGCCTGGAGGAGTTAATTGCGCAGGTTCAGGAAGAGCTGAAACTACATAAGTACTTGAACAACAAGAAGATTTGGGAGGCATTTCTTCAGTGTGACAAGGATGGCTGTGGCATCCTGAACAAAGCAAGATTTCTAACCATTTGTGACAACTTGAGTGTGCCGACCAGCGCCGTTCTGGTTTCCAGGGTGAGAAGGAAGGGGTGCTGTGCACATTGAATTCCTCTCCTATAGCTCTTGGAAAGAACCAGTCCTAGCCAGGCAAGACCAACAGCACCTCTACCCTACAAAGCTTCAAGAAAAGCTCAAGAGAGTCCCAATTCAGAAGGGTCTCTGAGCTGTTGGACTGAGCCTGTCTCTTGAAGGAGGACAAAATAATTGCTGTCCTCTGAGTAAAGGGAGAAAATGTTAAGCAGGTTGCCCCTCAAATGAGCAGCCTGGTGTTTGGCAGCACTGTTACCTGAAGCCTGAAAGTACCTGCTGGCTCAGGTCACAGAGGTGAGCAGAAGAGTTTGTGTATCATGCTAGAAATCAGGCATAGGCTCCTGCAGAGCTACTGAGTGTCTGTCATGACTTAAGCACGTCTGGGCTTGAGCTGAAGTGACACTGAAGTGCTTAGGGAATCAGCCTTGGGAAAGGTACATTCTGTATTTAACAGCAACTGAATTGAGGATTTGAGATCTAAGTATTGTACACAAATAAATAAATAAAATAAAATTTAGAATATTAACCACTTGGTTAACACAATTAAACCATAAGCTTGCTGGACGCTATGAGCACCAGTACACGGAGTCTGCATAGCAGAAAGTGTGAGGGAAACTGAAATGAAACTCATGCAATGAGGATGGAGGATCCTTTCAGGAATGTGACTGACATCCATTGCTTTTCTTAGCAAAAAGTGATAGCCATAGGTTAGTGGCCAATAAAGACAGACTCAGAGTTTAAAGAAATCTAGAAAGCAGGAGTATTTCTCTTGCTAAAAATAAAACATTTGCTAAACCAGCAAACTGTGAGAATCACATCTGTCATTAGGAAGGTGCACAGGCAGGGTATTTATGTGTCTGAATGTTCACTGCCTAAAGGCACAGGGACAGCACCCAGGGCTTATGCTCCTCGAGAGTTCATTGGAGACCTCTCTGCCCTGAGGAATGTACAATATGGTGACAGTCCTTCCTGCTCCCACGCTGAGAATGGGAGATGAATGGACATGCCCATAAGCATGTGGGGAAACTGTGACAACTGAGGCTCAACCCCCATGTTTGAATCCCCATCTAGGACCTAATCCCTCTTCTCTCTTGAAATCTTGATAATAGTGTGCTCAGAGCCCTCAGAGGTGTGGCAGAGCTATAAATTAAACATATGGCAGATAGTTAACTGCTTTCAGGATTGGAAAGGAGCAGAGCTGTCAGTCACACCAGAGCAAACCCTACTAAATCTGTCTCCAGGCGACAAGGGGAAGAAGAATCCTTTCAAGGAACTATGATATTAGACCTTTTCCATCTCCCTGGGTGTCAGAAGGAGATTAGTTATGCAATTTAAGAAATAAAAGCCCTCTTTCTTTCCCTTAAGCACACAAAGGCTATAGCTCTGTAATACAATGCAAGTTCAGGCAGGGATACCAGAACTGGCTCATTAGTAGGGCTGTCACTGAGTTTAATTATCTGTGCCTCCATGTGCACACACCAAAGTGACCCCAGTGAACAGTAACTGTTCAGATATGCTGCCCCCACCCCACTTTTAGCAGGTATTTCTGTGGGGTTTCTGAAAGATTTGCTGTGGTTTATGTCATTCTGTGGCCACACTTGTGTTTTTGTGGATCTGTTGCCACTGTGGTGATACTCAAGAAGGCAATCAGGATTAATCTCAAACACTTGAGTTCTTCTCCTTGCATAATTAGTGTCATCTATGTGAATTCAAAGACACCTGTGATTCAGGACTACTGAGGTGGCAGGCTCTTCCACACAAGGGAGTAAGGTCTGCTCTGTCACACTAGGAGTACTCCCAGACACTTTCCCCTAAAAAAATGTATTTGTAGCTTCTTCCAGTTCTTTATGGTGTTTGTTTGTTTCCTCAGCTGATCGACTTGTGTTCTTGTGGAGAAGACAACATAAACTACCATGACTTCCTCAGAGCTTTCCCCGTGTGATCTTCGCCCAGAAGCTGAAGCACCAGACCAGCAAGAAAATTCTTACCCTAGTTGACTTTAAGACATTGTACCTCAAAAAATACGCTGTAGTCTTCACCTCTGGTCATTCACTCTCTCCCTCCCCTCCTTACCAGAGACAGCTAAATTCACCCTCACTATGTTAACATTTTTCCCTTCCTAACCTCTTCCTGGCCTTTTAGCTACAACCAAACTCAACCTCACAACTGCTGGATGTTGAAAGGAAATTCACAGGAGAAAAAAAAATAATTTGGAGAACCAAAGCCAGGTTCTCTTTTTGATCTCTCAATTTTTTAATGCAGTACAGCAAATCTTGCTAGAGCTAAAGTTCCCTAAAGCCTCTAGGTTTCTCCTGTGGAGCCAAAAGGAGCCTTTCACCTTCCAGCAGCAATGACTGCCAGTTTAAAATGTAATTTACATTGCAAGAAGACTGAAGAGCCCTGCCATGGACAACAATAAACTCACTCTTGCTAGTTTGAATGTAGGCAAGTCATGCATGGCTACTACAAAAGTGTTAATAAATCTGCTTTAAATAGAAGCACCTCCATGTTTGGAATGGGGGTGGGGAAACCATAAAACTGAGATTCTGGTTTCTCTGAGCAGTGAGATACTCTCTGAACCCATTTGATGCAACCCATCACCTCATCAGACAGGTCCAACAAAAAGGGAAAACTAGCAGTTGGCATAGCAAGTTATGACACTTGTGCTCCACTGGGAGTCATATTGTTCATCTCTCCATTAAGGTACATGTGGTGGGGGCCTCCTCACCCCAAACGACACCTGCCAGGTATTGCCATTGAGCACACATGACAGGCAGTTATTGTGCACACAGCAGGGAACAAAGCTCTTTGGAACAAAATGCTGATTTACATCAGCTTTTGTACTGTGGATTCCCACTTCCCCTCAGACAGCTGAGTCTCCACAGGACAGTTCCCTCCTGCCTGCTTGCAAAGGTCACAGCTCTTCCCTTCTGAGCCTGCTTTGTGCTGCTGCTCACTCTAACCAGGAATCACTACAGCTCTTTCAGGTCCACCTTAGATTTCAAAGCACAGCGTGGCATTGCATGAGGCAGCTGACAAAGGCTAACTTCCAGAAGCCACCTTTCATCAGTTTTTCCAGAGGCCAGGAACTTAAGAGATGAAACTACTGGAGCGGTAGGTTGTAGAAAAGAATGCCAGAAACTGTTTTCTGCACATGCTATGAAACTGTAACCTGATACTCAGCTAAATGCTGTAGCATGCCCAGGGCCAGCTGCAGAAAGTATACAATTTAGCTCACCACCAAGTATGCACCTAAACCACATCAGATACAACATATCCTACAAATGCTCTTATCCTCCACCCCCAAAGATGAAGGCAGCCACAGATAACTCACTTAGAAGCAGTTGCCCATGCTGTGGACCTGGGAAATGTGAGATGATGAACCAACCCCAACTGTGGGGAATATGAGGACACACAAGATGCTTCACCAAAGGGAACAGACCAGTCTGGTATGGCATGAGGGACAAGTAGGACTCATCACAGCCAGCTCTGAAAACCTATACAGCTCAGCAGAGTGATAAAGCATGACTTGACAGGAGCAATGGAAGAATCTACACCTTTTATTTATTTATTTCAGAAAAATACTTTTGTTGAGTTTATCACAGAAGTCATTTAACAACAACAACAAAAAAAATCCATACAAAAACTTAAGTGACAGGAAGAATGAAACAAACGGGATAAAATATCAGAGTCTGTTACTTCCCCTCCATCCCCCCCCCAAATTAGGAAATTTGCACTAAAGCATAAATATGGAAGAACAGTAATTTTCCTCAAGTTCCTTTGTTGAAGTTTGGTCCATTGAGTTCAACATATTCAAAGCAAAACTCCGTGCCTCTGCCTGGCTTTTACAAGAGCCATCCTGCCCCACTGCCAGCAAAACCCCATGTGCAGCCCCAGGGTGAATTAACACACATCACAGTTTGCCAAACCATCTTTTACACACTTGTGAAGTTCACCAGGAGGCTGTAAATCAAACACTGTGGTCTCCATCTATTGTTGATTCATGGTGGGGGGGTCCATCTACCAAGACTTCATATAAGGCAAGAGACTGAGGCTGCTGTCAAGCCCCGTGCAGCCAAGGCAGGGTAGCTACAGGCTTCAAGAGTCACTTGGAGGCACGGGGGAGGCATCCTAGAGTTCGTTCTTCCCTTCAACCAGGAACCCTACCAAAAATACATTTTTCAATGGTGAGTTAAGGGTAAGGGGACCTACAGGGGAACTGGAACTTGTCACCTTTACTACTAACCCAAACACGATGAGTGAGAAGAAAGAATCCTAGACACACACACAAAAATAATGCAACTGTAATGCCCTGTAAGAGTCACTCAAAAATTCTATGTGAAATGCTACATCTGTTCTTCCTCTGCCCCCTTTTCTTCCCAAGCCCACTAAGACAAAAAGAAAGAACTACTGCTGGTATCCCACAGCTCTTCCAGGCTAGGGCAGGAGAACACTATGCTTCACACCAAAAATCACAGACTACTCAATCCCTGACCTCAGATAATGAACTCAGACTACAAAAGCAGTCCCAAGCCCACAGGAAGGGTCCATGCAATAGCCTTATACTGACTGTAAGGACTTGCAGGTTTGCATAGTCTCTTTCTGCACTGTGGTGGACAAGAGCAATTCTGTGTGGGGTTGGATTTTTTTTTTTTTTTTTTTTTGCAGAAGGCACAGGACTTGACAAGATGGGGCACCAGAAGAGCATCCACTAAAAGAAAGTGGACTCATGGCATCTTTGTATGCAGAGTGGTCACGAAAAGACTGACCACTAAGGGTTTGCAATGAAAACACTCTGGGAAAGAAAAAGCTCTTTGGGCTGAAGAGAAGGCTTGGCCTGCTGCGAAATGACATGGACATAAGAAGCAGTTACCACAGGCTGGTTTTTTTTTTTTTTTTTTTTTCTGAAGAAGGCACAGGACTTGACAAGATGGGGCACCAGAAGAGCATCCACTAAAAGAAAGTGGACTCATGGCATCTTTGTATGCAGAGTGGTCACGAAAAGACTGACCACTAAGGGTTTGCAATGAAAACACTCTGGGAAAGAAAAAGCTCTTTGGGCTGAAGAGAAGGCTTGGCCTGCTGCGAAATGACATGGACATAAGAAGCAGTTACCACAGGCTTGCAGCCAAGGGATGCTGCTCACAGTAAGTGACAGAGGCAGAAACAGCCCGTGGCAGCCCCTCCAGTGGAGGGTGGATTGCAGACCTTTGGGATGACAGCGCATCTTGTCTGGCAGCAAAGGCTGAGCTCAAAGAAAAAAACACCAAGAAACCTGCCACATTTGGGCACAACAGAAGATGGGGATCTCTGAGGACTAAATATAGGGGAGGGCAAAAAAAGCCCCACCATCTATAGGTTAAAAATACAATATAAAAAAGAGCACGTGGAAATGCTTCCAAAACAAACTGTCCCTTTTACTGGTAGCGCTATCAAAAAAGAAAACAAAACCCCCAGAAATGTAACATAGGTTGTTCAGAGGCTGGAAAGGGGGAGGGAGGGAGTTCAGCTACTGGTGTGGTACACGGACCAAGCGGTAAGAGGCTACATGGCAGCATAAGGCACTTGGGATACAAAGTGTAATTAGCTACTTTATGAAGACGAAGGATTGTGCAAGTGGAAAAGCTGCCCGGAGCAAAGCAGGCAGGAGGAGGAATCATTCAGCAGCCAGTTTCTGGGGGGACTGCACGTGTCACCTTTAACAGAGTCAATACCCCGGCTGCTGCCAGGCACTGGCTTTGCAGAAAAGACCAGCTGAGGCTCTGGAGAGATGCTGGCATGTGGCAGTGGATGGCTGGGCATGGGAAGAGCCAGGAAAAATGAAAAACTTCTCACACTAGACCCCTTCCATGTCCTCCCTAACATAAAGCTCTTTTTCCCTCTCTCCTCACATTGCACTCAGGTACTGTTGCTGCCTCTGAGCCAAAATGTGTATTATCCACCCAACAAGGGCTATGAGAAGCAATTCCAGGATACCACCCAGGGCTCTGTGCCAAAGGCTTTTTCCTCAGTTCCCCTGAAAAAGGGGGAATCCCTCTCCCTGAGTCCTGCTGGCATCTCTCATTCAGGACTTGGAGGTTGTGGGGATGGAAGAACAAGTGGAATTTGACCAACTGTCCTTGTGTCCTGGCACATTTTCTCCCTCTGGTGCCCAGTCTCAGCTGAGGCTCAACAAGAGAGGAAGGGAGAAAAGACACCTATAGGAGGCAAAAAACCTGACCCAATTCAAAGAGGCATAGAAAATCAACTGTCACCCATTCCCCAAAACACAAATGATATAGAGGACAACTACACCAGCCACAGGCTAAAATTGCACTTGGAGAGAGCTGGAGTTCAGCTGCTCAAAGGGCTAAGCAAGAGGCACACGAAGGACCATGTGCAACGAAGGTGGACCTCAACCCTGGTGTGCCTATCAAAGAGCACCCAAGCTCCCTGCAACCCTGTGCTCCCTCTTCTCCCCCAGCCAAGGGAACACATCACTTGCCTGCTCCTGCAATGGTGAAGGAGAATGAAAGCTACAGCTGGCTTTGCTGCCCAAGAGGCACCAACAGCAAAGCCCAGCTACAGGAACTGCCCCGAAGGAGAGCTGGGGGGTGGGAGATGCCCATCAACTGCACGCCCACCAAACCTAGACTGGTGCATGGACTGCCAGAGCAGCTCAGCGCTGAGGCACAAAGCCCTGGGCAGGAGATGCTGCTTCCCAGAAAAAGAGGCAGCAGGTGGGATCTGGGGTTCCGAGGAATCTCCTGCCACCACGCAGAGGTGGCAGCAGGCAGGAGCAAGAGGGGAAAGTGGTCTGCAGCAAGAGATGGTCTCTGAGGTAGATTTGAGACAACTCCATCTGCCATCAGCTATGCAACACAGGGCAGGCTTTTCCTAATATGCAAGCTGCTTCTTGCAGCCCTGGCTTCTTTCCCCTTCCCTGTCCTCTCATTCACAGCTCAGAAAGGGATGAAGAGGCTGGGTTTTTATGAAGAAACCCTGCATTTGATAGCACCTTGGGTGGATACAAGCTCTGTATCCTTCAGAAACAGAAAGTGAAACTGGTGGCTGCCAATGGCACAGCTGGACTGGAGCAGTAGGGATGAGGAGGGCTAAGGCGACAGCATGAGTGGCACAGCCCTGTTGATGCAAAACCCTTTGCAGCAGCCAGTTTGTAACCTGGACCTGGTTACAAGCCATGAGAACACCTGGTCCACGAGGCACAAGCAAGCTGGCAAAGAGCCTGGGCTGACAGGTGCCAGGCCAGCATTCAGAGCAGGGCAGGACTCAAGGGTTCACGTGGACCTGAGGATGCTGCTGCCCTATGACAAGGCACTGCGAGCTGCAGAACAGGGCTGGGAGCTCCAGAACAACTATGGGGCAGCTCAGCTTCTGCAGCCAAGAGGGTAAGAGGAACCCAGCTGTATCAGAACAGCTGGGGCAAGCACAGGCTAGGTGGGTCCTATGTGAAGAGGGAAATTCTCTCCCTTCTCTGCTGCCCAGCTCTCCAAAATTAGTTCAAAAGCCCCAGGGATCAGAAAACCCCCATTTAACCAGAGGTCCACCTTGAGACAAGGCATGGTTTGACATTCCTCCCTCAGACCCTGCTCTCTTATTTGTAGCATCACCATCCTGTGGCACTTGCCAAACATTGGTGTCATAAGAGAGGCAACACTTGCCGAGAGCACCCCTGAGCCTCAGGGCCACAGAGCTCCAGCACATCCCCCCAGGAGCCTGTTCCCGTAACAGGCAAGTGGTGCCTTCAAGCTGCTGTGGCTTTGACCCAGGGGGAGCTCAGGAAAGCACCACGGAGAGAGGGGAGGAATGTGCTGTGGGGAGAAAAAAGGATTGTTTGGAACCCTCTACGATGCATTTGCAACAATAACCCAAAATAACCAAACAGTAAAAGTAGAAAAGAAAATAATTGCACATGGATTGACAGTTAAACAGAGGGAGGCAAAACCAGGAGGGTTAGAAAGGGCTCCTAGAAGGGGAAGGGAGCAGGGGAAAGGGACCTTTTTGGTTTTATTGCAAATGGTTCAAGAGGGCAAGAAAGGAAGTGAGGAGAGCAAGAGACACCTTGGGAAGATGACCAGTTTCCAAGAGGTTCGGCTCGGCGCTCGGGAGGAGGGGCTGCTGCTCAGTCCCGGAATCTCACCCTCCTCCCCAGGACACAGCCCTTGGCTTCTAAGGTGACTTCAGCTTCTTGGTTCGCGGTGAGGTGCCATTCTCTGCCTTCACCACTCCGTTTTCATGGTAACCTGGGGATGGAGAGGAAAAAACCTTATCCCTCGGGCAAGTCAGAACCTTCATCCTCCCAGAGCTGTCCTGGTGACCTGGGGAAAACCCTCACCGTGGCACAGCCCTGCTGGAGCTCAGCACAGAGCAGGAGGCACCGCGGCAGCACTGCCTGCGTGGGCACCAACGAGCCTAGGGGATGCTGAGCCCCAGGACTGATGTCTGGACACTGTGCCACCCCGTGAGAGGTGAGTTCTGGTGCTCACCCGAGTCCCTCTTGAGTGGCTTGGCTGGCTGCCTGGCGCCGGCAGCCGCTCGCTTCCGGCTGCTCTGCTCGTTCCAGTACTCCCGCCAGCGCCGCAGCTGGAAGTGGATGAATCGCCACATCACCGAGGCCTGGAAGAGGCACACCAACAGCAGCACACTCATTCTGGTAGGGGTGGAGAAGAGGTAAGCTGAGAACAGAGGAACAAAGCCACCACCAGCCCAGTTTTGCACCCACACCGGGGCTGGTGGCTGGGGTTCCTGGGGGTGGTGGCACTGAGTGCCGGAGGCACGTGCCATCCCTCCAGCCACCACCTCTGCCTTCTGCCATCTCCTGAACTCAGGGCAGCCACTTCCCTTTCCCTCCTCACTACAAAGCTCTCAGGTGCCCAGGGCCATGCTGACTTTTGAGACTTTAGGGCAGGAACAGATGAATGTAGCACAGCAGTGACAGGGCGAGAGGTTATGGTTTCAAACTTAAAGAGCGTAGATTTAGATGAGATACTAGGAAGAAATTATCTCCTGCGAGGGTGATGAGACACTGGTCCAGGTTTCCCAGAGAAGCTGTGGATGTTCTATCCCTGGAAGTGTTCAAGGCCAGGTTGGATGGAGCTTGGAGTAACCTGCCCTGGTGGAAGGGATCCCTGCCTGTGGCAGGGGGTTGGGAATAGATGATCTTGAAGGTCCCTTCCAACCCAAACCATTCTGCAACTCTCTGCATAGGATCAGCCCAACCAGCACTGCCCAAACCCAAGTCTACACAGTTAAGGTAAGGCATCTCCAGCAGCTCTGTACAACTAAAAAGTGAATGTGGTTGGAATGGACCTAAGAAAGTATCCCACATCCCCAGACATGCCAATAGTCCATAGCTCAAAAAAACTTGGGAATGGCCAGGCACATGTTCTAGCAACTTTCAAGCTGAACTGTATGGGTGAGAAAGGCTCCCAGTCTTGACAGAGAGACTGCAAGGCATGAGGAGCTCATCCCACCACTGCTTCCTGCATCAACAGGCAGCAAAACATGTCCAAGAAGAAGGGAAAAATGCCTTTTCATTGACCACTTCCCTGTAAGCACAGTCACAGGAGCAGAAGGGAAAGCTTCCAAGCCTTTCTCTAAGCTTAGGCTCATGCTTTATAACTTCACTCAATGAACAACTCATTTGCTGGCTTTTCCCCCTCTGTTGTGGCTCCACAGCCTTTAACCTCTCCTTGCTCCCTCCACACCCTCACAGCATTCTAGAACCTTAACTCAGGAGAAACTCAGATTCCCACTGGCATTTCCAAACTCAGCAAAATTCACCCTGGGCTAACACAACCAATGAACACAATTCAGTCTTCACATGAAAGGACACATTAAAGGCAAAACAAACAAAAAATGGTGGTAGGTACGGTAGGGAATATTCCTACCTGAAGAGGATATTGTTGAAGAGAAAGCTGAAGAAGTTCCCTCTTTCAGGGTCGAGGGCCTGGCTCTCCACCCGTGGCAACCCGAAGCCGATGACCAGGATGTACAAGGTGAGGGTGAAGAGCCTGGTGACCACGAACACGACAGCCCAGACGTTAAACCTGCAGGGGGACAAGCAGATGTGTCGGCAGGAGCAGCCTCCAGCGCGGAGCTGGCAGGTGACAGCGAGTCCCTCGTCATGCTGGTGGCTCTCCTGGGCACCCCAGGATGGAAGCCATGGCTAGGCAGCCTGCTTACAGCTTCTCGTTGTTCTCGTCCGTGAAGCAGACCAGCCGAGCCATGTGGAAGAAGAATTCAGCCAAGTACTGCAACAGCAGGAGGATCAGCCCCAAGCGGGTTAAGCTAAGAGGGAAGAAAAGAAGAAGAGCATCACTGGGCTGGTCAGTCTTAGACCTTCACATCCAGCAACAGCATCTCTCCTGCCATTCCCGAGCTGCAGCAAGGACCTGCTCAAAGCTGGACCTCTATGCAGCAACAGGACTGTGATGGGGACACCCCTGTCCCCAAAACATGAAAGTAGCCCAAACTAATAGCAGAGAGGGGATGAGTCCAGCACAAAGCCCTGACCACTGGAACTGCAGCTCCATGCACAAGCTCAGAGGAAAGGTAAGAGCTTGCCTGCCCACATTGTGCTGCGAGACCATCTCAGTGTGATTCTCACAGGGAGATGCACCCCTCAGCCTGTGTTTGGGGTCCCTGGTTAACATTAGCTTTGCAGCGCTCTGTGAACAAAGACCACCTGAACTCCTTCAAAACAGATGCGGTGCTTAGGGATGTGGTTTAGTGGTACATTCGGCAGTGTTCTGGTTTAGCAGTAGGACTTGGAACCACAGAATGGCTTGGGTTTGAAGGGACCTTAAAGATCACCCAATTCCACCCCCCGCCTTCCACAGGCAGGGACACCTCACACCAGACCAGGTTGCTCCAAGCCCCATTCAACCTGCCCTTCAACACTTCCAGGGATGGGGCAGCCACAGCTGCTCTGGGCAACCTGGGCCAGTGTCTCACCACCCTCATAGTGAAGAATTTCTTCCTAATATCTCATCTAAATCTACCCTCTTCCAGTTTAAAGCCATCACCCCATGTTCTTATAACTGGATTATCATAAAGGTCTCTTCTAACCAAAATGATCCTGCAATTCTATGAAAACCAGCTCTTTGGATCTGTAAAAACCATTTCCCTGACAGCCCACAGCCGGGAGGTCAACTTCAGCACCATCTGCTTTTTAAACACCCACCTTCATTCCCTTTAAGCCCCCTCTCCCCACCCCACTGAAGCTTTCTGGATGACTCAGCCTGCAAAAGGACCCGCTCAGCCCCATCCCTGGTGCAGGACAGGGTGCTGATGGACTCACTTGAGGAGGTACGCGCCGGCGATGTGAACCAGGTAGAGGGTGATGCACCTCAGCTGGCGAGGGATCTCCTCCTGGCAAGGGCAGAAAGCCATGTGAAACCCCTCACCTCTCTTCACCCACCCTCTCCCAAAACCTGCTCTCCCCAAAGCAGCTGGGCCAACTACCTCAAGCATCCCCCCGGGCACCTGGGGGCACCCATCCACCTCTCACCTTGCGAACTTTTTGGAAGTAGAGCTCTGGCAGGGCGTGCAGCCAGTATGCCAGCTGGCACAGGTAGAAAAACTTCACCTGGAACCTGAAATGAAGAGACAAGCCCAGGTGAGAAAGCCCAGGTCATGGCAGGACCCCAAAGACCCAGGCACCAGGGGAAGAGCCTGGCTGCAGAGTGCCAGGCGATCCCTCCACCTAATCCCTCCCAAAATTATTTAGAAGGCATCATTTCTGGGCTGAAATGTTATGTTGAGCTGAGCCAGCCATGCCTGAAGTTTATCCAGATGTTTCTGCTGTGGTCTCCATGGGCTCAACAAACCTCACTCTTGCAAAAACCCAAGAAGGGAGGATTATCCCCACTTCACATGAAAAATGAACAGCAAAGTGACTTGCTCAAGGCGTTGCAGGCAGGAACAGTCAGGATGAGTAACCAAGTCCACCAGACTTTCTTCGTGGAGGAAACACCCCCCCCCATGAACACCCACCCTGGGGCTACAAACAATATGCCCACCATCCCCTGGGATGTCACTGCAGCATCCCTGCAGCAGGGTGCATGTGAAGGGCACTTTGTTGTCAGCACCTTCCCCTGAGCCACAGGGAAAGCCGTGGCTCAGAGGAAGGAAATGCCCTCGCGAGTGCTTACGGGAGATAAATGTGCGGGTAGTTTTCCCACAAACTCCGGGGGTTTGAGATGTATCCTTCCTGAAAAAGAGAAAAGATGCACGTCTTCAGCAAAAGAAACAAGCAGCACGTGGTTATGATGGGGCAGGCTAAGGCTACAGAGAAACAGGAACTGGGGATGAAACCCACAGAATCAGAGTCACAGAGCAGCCAGGGTTGGAAGGGACCTCTGAAGATCATCCAGCCCAACCCCCTTGCTAAAGCAGGATCAGCTACAGTAGATCACACAGGAACATGTCCAGGCAGGTATGGAATGTCTCCAGAGGAGTCTCCACAACCTTCTCTGGGCAGCCTGTTCCAGTGCTCTGTTACCCTCACAGTAAAGGAGTTCTTCCTTATTTTTACCTTAAACCTTGTATGCTCCAGCCTGTGCCCACTGCCCCTTCTCCTGTCATTGGACATTGCAGAAAACAGACTGGACCCATCCTCCTGACACCTGTCCTTTAGATATTTATAAGCATTGATGAGATCCCCCCTCGGTCTCCTCTCCAGGCTAAACAGCCCCAGCTCTCTCAGCCTTTCCTCACAGGGCAGATGCTCCAGTCCCCTGACAATCTTTGTGGCCCTGTGCCAGACTCTTTCCAGTAGTTCCTTATCCTTCATGAACAGGGAAGCCCAGAATTGGATGCAGTATTCCAGATGTGGCTTCACCAGGGCAAAATAGAGGGGGAGGATAACATCATTTGATCTACTGGTCACACTCTTCCTAATGCACCCCAGGATACTATTGGCCTTCTTGGTCACAAGGGCACATTGCTGGCTCATGGTCAGCCTGCTGCACACCAGGACAGGTCCTTCTCCCCACAGCTGCTCTCCAGCAGGTCAGCTCTCAACCTATACTGGTCCATGGGGTTGTTGCTCCCCCAGATGCAATACTTTACACTTGCCCTTGTTAAATTTCATTCAGTTTCTCTCTGCTCAACTCTCCAGCCTTGTCCAGGTCACGCTGGATGGCAGCATATCCTTCTGGTGTGTCAGCCAATTGTCCCAGTTTTGTATCATCAAAGAATCTGAGTCCTTTCAGCCTGCAGTAAAACCCATTTTCCCCACAGGAGCCAAGGCTCAGCCCTCCAGAGCACAGCCCCATTTAAGGGTCTCACACACCCAGCTCGAGTTTCAAGAAGCCCCTGTGTTTGGGGGTTGAAAGCTGCTTGCTTGGTTGCACAGAGTGTGCCAAGTTCAGGATAGGATGTTTTGGGGTTTGGACAATCCAAGAGGGATGCTCTGGAGGCACAGGGGTGAGATGCCAGTTGCACAGCAAGGTCTGGGGGTGCTTCTTCCCCACTGGCATTCCCAATCTGAGTATCACTTAAGCAAGAAAAAGTACTTCTGAAGAGAAAGAAGACCAGAAAAGACTTACAAAATAACATCATATGCATTGCATAGTTTAATTTTCCACCTGTCTGCATCCCCTACAGCCTCTTGCCTTACACTTGCAAGGCAGAACAGAGAATGGGGCTCCCTTTGGGTTCCAAGCTTGCACAGCCCCTGTCACAGGGGTGCTGCATGGGGCTTTGCAAAGAGATGGTGGCAGGGAAAACACCCTGCCCAGGGTCTGTCACCCTCTGACAGTCCCTGTCTGTCACCATCACCCATGCTCTGTCTGCCCTAAGCCCTTTTTTTTTTTTTTTGGCTGGGGGAGTCTAGGGAAAGTGTAAGTATTGCAAAGACTGACCTGTGTGGAGCTCCACATGTGGAACATTTGGGGAGCTCTCTGTGGCAATGTGGCCTTTGCCCAAAAGGTTGCAGCCTCAGAGCCAGCAGGGACAGATCTGGAATGGGGCAACAGCAGCTCAAAAGCAGCAGCATCAACTGTTTTGCCACAGCTTCCCTTCCTGCAGCCCTGCAGGGCAGGAGCACTGCTGGCAGATCCCCAGAATTGCTGGCCTGGAAGGAGGTGGCTGTCCTCTAAGGAAGGCTGGCAGGACATGTCAAGCAGTGGGAAGGGGACCTGTCCCTAAGCATCCATTGCCAGCACCACCAGGGACCACAGCTGGACCCCAGCGGCCACCAGGAGTGAAGCATCATCATCACTTCATGCTGCCAAAACATCATGCTGCTGTCAGATCTCTCCAACAACACTTCTTCTTCCTTCCCTCTTCCTCCCCTAAAATGAAATGGTTTCACTCTGAATTTTTCTCCCAGTAGTTTTGGGTTAAAAAATCCTGAAAACTCTCCAAACAGGGAGTGTTAGGTCCAGTTCTGGGGTACCCAACACAACAAGACATGGAGCTATTGGAGTGAGTCCAAAGGAGGGCCATGGAAATGGTAAGAGGGCTGGAGCTCTGCTCTGGGTACAGGCTGAGAGAGTTGGGGTTGTTCAGCCTAGAGGAGAAAAGGGTCCGGGGAGGCCTTAGAGCACCTTCCAGTACCTGAAGGGGCTACAGGAAAGATGGGGAGGGACTTTGTACAAGGGCAGGGAGTGATGGGAGGAAGGAGAATAGCTTTAAACAGGGCTAAGGTAGATTTATGTTAGACATCAGGAAGAAATTCTTTCCCGTGAGGGTGGTGAGACACTGGAACAGGCTGCTCGGAGAAGTTGTGGTCTTCCCCATCCCTGGAAGTGTTCAAGGCCAGGCAGGATGGAGCTTGGAATAACCTGGTCTTGTGAAAGGTTCCACTAGAAGGTTCCTCCCCCATGCAGAGGGTTGGAACTAGATGGATCTTTAGGGTCCCTTCCAACCCAAACCATCCTATCATTCTATGATTCAACACATGGTGTGGTCTCCCTGCTCTCAACAACTCTCTCTCTGTCAGCTTGCCAAGAGATGGACCAGGAAGAGAGGGATCCTGAACATCTGCCCATTAGCTGCACAACCCTACAAAGGTCATAAAAAAATAACAAGGCACTGAATGCAAATAAGGAGGAAAATAAGAGGCTGAGAAAGGCAGCAGATCCCAAAGCAGTAGATGCAGATGACAGAGCCAGGCAGGATTTCTAAAGTTCAGCTCCAAAAATATTTCAAAAATATTTCCTTGCATGAAGCAGGAGACAGATCTCTCCAAACTGCCCTTGCTCCATGGCTGGAAAGATCCACCACACCTGAAAATTACATTTGCTGCAATGTGCCTGTCCTGGCCCAGGAGCTGACAAGGGGACTCTCTGCTGCCACCAAGTTTTTGTACTCCAGAAACCCCAAATCCCACCCAGAGAACCCAGAGCCAGGTGGCTGTGTCTTACCGTCACCACGACATACAAGCACCAGATCACAGAGGTGAGGTGGAAGGCCACCAGCTGCCCTGATTCATTGAACTTGCTGTGTTTGACCTTGGAGAGATGGAGACGCCTGTTGATTTTCTAGGAAGGAGCAGAGGGAAAGAAAAGGAACAAGAAGACATGAGCCACTGAGTCAATAACATTCCCTCTTCCTCCCCCCACCATCCCAAGTAGCCCCTGGACATGAAGACTCACTCTTCACCACCTCAACCCCCAGACCACCTCCAGAACAGCAAACTGCAGCCAGGACCATGTCCCCCCAGTGATACTTGAGATATTCTGGTGAGTTGAGGCACTGAGTGGTACTCACGTCCAGGACATACTCCTGCACCACTGCATGCAGGATGATGGCAACAAAGATGTAGAAGAGGATGGTGACCAGGTCCTTCAGTCCGTAGTGATACTGGACCAGCTCCCCATCTGCAAAGAGACCAAGTAGGGGGTCAAATCCCCATGACCCAAACGATTTTCAGGTAAGGTCTCAAAGTCAGGGATGTGGATATTCCCAGAGAGGTAGAGGCAGAGAGAGATCACAACTGTGCCAGTGGGTGCAGGGCTGGTAAAAAAGCTCTAGCCAGGGTCAGCCTGTCATCAGAGGGTGGATGGCTTCCCCTCTTTAATAGTTACACACCTCAAGGGAAGTGACAATCAGGATGTTTCAAGCTTCCTGTGCCAGAGATGAGTGACTGGGGACAACCTGGCTGCAAAGGAGGGAATTTATCAGGCATGAAGACATGGAGGCAGTGCTGAAGCAGGTGATGGGATCAGAGACAACCCATTTGGGAGCATAAGGGCTTGGAATGGGATTTCCACCCTGTCAATTATCATTCAACATTGCTGGAACAGGATTCAGCTGCCTAAATACAGGTGCCTTGTGCTATTAAGAGACCAGAGACAGTAGCACAGGGCTGGTGGGTGAGAAATAGGACCCATGGGAGGCCCTGAAGCTACAGAAGACACAACAGTACATACAAAATACCCCAGATATCTGCATTTAGGCAACTATTTCATAGAATCACAGACTGGTTTGGGTTGGAAGGGACTTTAAAGATCATCTGGTTCCCACTCCCCCGCCAGAGGCAGGGACAACTTTGACTAGACCAGGTTGCTCCCTGGAGCTTCTGGGGAAGAAGGAGAGGAGGGAAAGCTGCTCCTCATGGCATGTTGCAGAAAGCATCACAATGCAAAAGCTCAGCCCACCCCCAGCTGATGCTCTCCTGTACCCTCCATCCTCTCCCTGTAGCAACGCTGGAAAGTGACTTGTCACAATTTAATCTGGAAGCTGGATGATTTCTTCAACCACAGAATCACAGACTGGCTGTTGGAAGGGACCTAAAAGATTATCTAGCTCCAAACTCCTGTCATGCACAGGGACACCTTCCACTATGTCATTCAAAGATTTTAAGAGCAGAACTTTTATCTTCTGCGTGTCTGCCCCATCCTAGTTTCACTAAAACCCACTTTTCCCTTGAATCATTACTCAAACCTTGTAATTAACTGGAGTTTTTGGCTGCCAAGCCAAACTCTGTGCCGTGGGCATGTGGCTTTACCCAAAGCACCTCCTGCTGCCCCCACACCAATGCCCAGATTGCTGCCAGCCCTGGAGGTGCTCAACAACCAGCAGCCAAAATATAAACAGGGACTGAGTCTCCAGCTGCCTCCAGTCCATCAGGCATGGACCTGCACCAGCTTGGAGCCTCCTTGAATTACTCATCATATATATCAGGACCACAAGCTGCCCAGAGCTGGGATGATGTCACCACGTGCATCTCTGCACCCTCACCTTGTGCCACAATAAATAAATAAAGCCAGATGAGAATTACCCGCACAGCCCCCATTGCTTAGCAAAGAGCTAAATCTCTCCTGCTCCTAGGCAGGGCACAGAGCTGCTCTGGACATGCCATCAGGCAACTTGGTCTTGCCTGACCAGGCTTAGAGGAAGATTCTCACCCTGTAAATCCCACCAAGTGGCCTGACCATGACAGAAACAGGAGAAGAAACTCCAAAACCCCCTGGAAAGCATCTCACAGAATAACAGTCACAGAATTGTTCAGGTAGGAAAAGACCTTTAGGATCATCGAGTCCAACCATAACTTAACTATCAACCATTAACCTAACTCCACCAAGTCCAGTACTTAAACCAAAGCACCACATCTATACATCTCTTAAACACCTCCAGGGATGGTGATTCAACCACTTCCCTGGACAGCCTGTGCCAGTGTTTAATGACCCTTTAAGTGAAGAAATCTTTTCTAATATCCAATCTAAACTTCCCCTGGTGCAACTTGAGGCCCACTTCCTCTCGTCCTATTGCTTGTTACGTGGCAGAAGAGACCAACCCCCATCCTGCTCCAACCTCCTTTAAGGTAGTTGTAAAGAGGGAGAATGTCTCCCCTCAGTCTCCTTTTCTCCAGGCTAAACTCCCCCAGTTCCCTCAGTCACTCCTCACAGGGCTCACACTCTAGACCCTTCACCAGTTTAATTTCCCTTGTTCCCAGTGCTGGCAGCAGACATGAACACTGTGATCTGAGCCTCTCTCTGAGCCTCTCTTCCCCCATGGATCTTATTTCTAAAGTCTGTTTTACTACCAGACAAGGGCCTGTGCAGAGGATGAGTCCAGGCCAGCTGGCAGCAAGAGTCTGGGATAGAGTATCCCCAGCAGCAGCATCTCTTACCTGCTGTAGGCACACTGATGTTATACTGAGGTAAGATAAACAGGAAGGCAGTCTTAGCTGTAACCTGTCAGAAACACACAGAGGAAGAAAAGCAAATCAGTTGTTAAATCTATTTCTCTGACCACGTTTGCTCCCCTTTTCTACTGCACTGGGAAAGGCAAATCACAGAGGGAGATGTGCAAGCACCAACTGCACTCGCAGAAGAGCCTTTCAGCAAGGGGACTGCTAGGGAAGAGGTTTGCCAACAGGACTTGGGATTTAGGAAGGAGAAAGGGGTGGATACAACATGGAGAAACGTGGAAAAGGAATGTAAAAAAAAACTGGAAAAAAGCTGCAAAAGTCACCACCAGCCAGGCTGATGAAGGGAGCTCCCCACTCCTTGTTGAAGATGAGCATCCCTCCAGTATTAGGTACCATTGTCACTGTGACCTGTTGCTCAGGGACACCAGGACTACAACTCAGTGGGCTGTGTTAATTAGAACCTCCCCTTAACTCCCATCTGCTCCAGGCAGTGATGGCAGCACCTGGCACAGAAGCAAGCTCAGAGGCTTCAAAGCCCCACAGGCTACACACATACATACCCTCTGCACCTTTGTTAAGACTCCTCTAGTAATGGCAGCTGTGGGACTGGTGAGGCCAGACCTCTTTAGAGACCACACAGGTGCTCAGGGCAGGGAATAAGGGTCCCACAGGGCAGGGGAAAAGCAGCTTTAACAAAAGAGATGAACCTTGAGCTGGCCACTCACAAGATCTCAGCTACATGTCCCATGCTGGCCAAAAAAGGGAAAAAAAAAATAAGCCTGGGATGAGACATCAGGCGCCCTGAAAACCAGGGCTGAGCTTCTCACTCTTCATTTATTGCTTTTAATTAAAGGGAATCATCTTCCCTGGCAGTGAAGCAGGAGGTTTTGTGGGGATGGGACAGAGCACCCCATCCTGATGCATCTGTAGGATGACCCAAAGCAGCACCTCTGAGAGCGATGGACCCTTGAGCCGGAGCCACTGCAAAACGTAATGCACTGACATCCAACGCCAAACACTCCTTCATCCCATCCAACCCCACACTAGTAGCAGGTCACCAGAGGTGACTTCTCCAACAGCTTCTCAGCCCCCCCTCCAAGGCTGTGCAAGCCACCAGCCTCAGATGGAACCTGCCCTAAAAAGCTGCCCGTCGAGCACCGATGGGAGTTGAGCTGCAGCTCACGCAGACACAGCTGCAACCGTTTGAGAGCTGCAGTCTATTAAAAACCCGGCTGGAAATATTGCCTCATGTGTTGCTGGATGTAGCTGTGTGTGGGGGACACACACACAGGGGCTTTGCCAAGTGGTCCCATCCCACCCCCAGGAGCATTGAGCAACTACTCGGTGGCTTCGCTCTGCCATCCCCTTGCAGTCCCGGCTGAGGGAAAGCAGCCTCCACGGTGTGTTTTCATGGTGTTTGGGGATTTTTTAGTTATTTTTTTGCCCCCCTGCTTAAAAGAAGAAATCCCACAAGCTGTGCTTTCCTTGTGGAGGAGGAGGTGTGAGAAGCACACTGCTGAGGGAGACCACGGACAGAGTTTGGGTGGTAATGGAAAAAGCTCATCGCCTGGCTTCGTGCTGGCTCCAGGAGATGCTTCTGGCTCTTGGAAACTTTGCTGGCTAGGAAAAGAAGGTTGCTTCATCCCAGAGTGGTACAGCATGACTAGGACCTGGACTTTACATCCAAACCTCATCACAAGCTGCCACAGGGCATGACACAAATGCATGAAGCCAGCTGTGGCCATGATGCTGCAGGGACAGGCTGCCATGTCAGGGATGTGTCAATGGCAGCAGGCACTGAAGGTTTTACATCCTGGCTGGTATCCAGAAGTGTAAAGAGCTGGAAACAAGGCATCACCTCTAGATGTAATCTTCTGATCTTCTGGAGGGACAGACTGTGGGTCCAAGAAAATGACCCTGGAGCATCTCTGGAGTGGGAAGCAATGCCTGCACCATGCTCAGCCACAACACAGTTTGCAAGGATCCTCCTAATCTTCTTTTCTAAAGGCAGGAAGGTTTTCTCCATCCACTCAATAATCAAGCATTGCTCTGTCCTATCTCCACACCTGTCTTTGCTTCCCACCAGGATCACCAGCATCTTCAGGGGTTCCCTTTGCACTCCTTCACCTCTCCACCTTTCACCACAGACGTTGTTTTTCGAAAGCCTGCATAAAATGTCTTACAGCCTAAGACAAAGGTAACCTGGACACAGGCAGGCTCCTGACAGACCAATTTCCAAAGACAGACTCTCTCCTCTATTTGATGGATGTGGAAACCCAAGAACACACATGCAACCACTCACTGAAGGCCAACATCCAACGTCTGCATCCAATTCTGGACATCCTACAGCCCTTATACGGAGGGAAGGTCTCCTCTTGGCCATCAAAAGTGTTCCTTTCTCCTCCAACTGGTTGGGAGATGTTCACACTGCCCATGGAAACATCTGAGCATGTGCAGGACATCACCCTTCATCTTGGTGCAGTCCCCACACATCCTCCCTTATGGGCACCAGCAGGACTTTTAACAACAAGGCAGAATTTTTGAAGGTGGGTCCTTGGGCTTTCCAAGGGCTCAAGGGACTGGTCCCATTTCATTTTGTGAGCACTTGCACCTCTATGTCTTCCTCGCTGCAACTGCATAAAAAACCCCAAATGATGTACTTATTGTCCAGCTCAGCTCTGTCCTTTGAGTCTCACCACCCACCAGGCCACCAGTGTCCCAATAGTGCCAGAAACCCTTGACAGGGTCATCTCTATCTCCTTGCCACCAACTGCAAGGACATCACAGCTCACACAGGAAAAGTACTGTGGTTTCCAGCAGCTGAGGCAGGTGGAGCACGAAACGCATGGGACGAACCATCTTGAGCAGGAGACTGGTGACATCCCTCTCCCTCCCTGAAGGTGAAGGACACCCTGCATGTCCATGGAGGGATCCACATCTTTTTGTTATCGCTCACAACACATCCCTTTACCAGTGGGCATGGAGGGATGGATGACTTGACAAAGGTCATAGCTGAGCTCCGCCAAGTGAACGTTAGGCTCCAAAATCCCAGGTTGTAGCCATAACCCTCTCAGCCACATCAACTGGGAGCACCCATGGGGCACCCATTGCAATACAGCCCTGAGTAGTGTATAGAGACAGAGACAGCAATGAGCAGCTTCAGCCTCTTGGGAAAGAGGGAAAACTTGCACCATGACCTCCAGCAGCCCATCTCCAGCTCCCCTGCAAGGCAGAAACCAGGTTTCCTCAGCTCAGGAAGGAGTAATGAGCACTGAGGATGGCAAAACTTTAGAGCTCACATCAAGTGTTTTGCAGGCAGCCAGAGAAAGGAGAAGTTTGTAAGAGGAAGAGCAACTCATGGATTATTCAGAGGCACAAGACACTGTTTGCTCTAGAACAAAATGCTGGTATGGGAAAGGAAGTGCCAGAAATCTTAATCTTACAGAACATCACCATGATTTGGGTAAGGATAGGGTGGGAGAAGGATTTGGCTGCATGCAACAAGCTGAGCAGGGACCATATAGGAAAGGCTGTATATATTCCTCACTTGCTCACTGCCCTGCATTAAGGGCACCTCCAAAGCAACCCAGCACTGCCCAAGGGGGAGAGGGAGGTGCTCCTCATCCTGGCCTCATCCTGCCTTGCATGAGGGATGTGCCTGAACCAGGTAAATTAGGGAAGCAGTTGTCCTGGAGTGTCCCAACGCTACACAGAGGAAACAGCATCCTCAACAGCAAGTGGGTTTCTGGTGGTCAGTGACACTAACCCAAGGACCAAACAGCAACCAGATGGTGAAGAGGCAATATTCAACATGTCCATCAAGACCACAGTTTCCTGCAATGCTCAGGGCAGCCAGGGCAGGACCAGGGCTGTTTCTCACAGAGCAAACCAGCCAGAAATCAAACCAGCACATCTAGCTCACAGCCCTTGGATGGCAGGGCAATAAAGCCAAACAATCCCAGCACCACTATGCATTTACTATGCATCTACTCTCCACCACTATCCACCTACTTCCCAATAATGTGGTCACTGGAAAACTTCACATCCCCACAAGCTAAGAGTTTGCTGCCTAATGAAAAGCAGCAATGCTCCCCCCAACCTTTTTAGAAAATGCTGGTTTTTCCTCATCCACCAAACACTTTAAGAGTCCAAAACAAAATCCCAATCCCACTTTTGCAGGCACACAAGCAGCTTTTAATAAATGCATCCAAGCATGTACATCCAGGCAGCTTAGCACCTCTCCCAAAAAGCTACCTGCTGTGATTGTCAAGCCGTGAGACTTTCAGGAGCAAGGGATTAATTTTTGAGCATCCTCTGCAGAGAGGTACCTGTTCACTCTATGAAATCCAGTTCCCTTCCAAAAGCTTCAGCCAGGTGGGATTTGCAGGGTCAGTGCTGCCTTCACCCCAGCTGGGAATGCCCAGACATGCAGCCAACCCCACAGCCCTGCTTGGGTTAAAACAGCTTCAGAGGAAGGAAGCGGCTCCAAACCTCTGGCGGGGGAGGCTGTGGGAGTTTCTGCAGTCTGAGCCGGGAAAATATTTCCAGGGCTTGAAAAACAACTCAAACTAATTAAAGATAAAATGCTGTCTGAGGCTTTTCTCACAACTTAGGGGTATTTTTTTTCCCCGCCACCGGACAGAGTGTTTATTGAAAGAAAACACTTGTTGATCCACCCTATGGATTGACACAAGCCCTATATGTAAACTGAAGACCAAACTTTGGACCAAAGCCTTTAAAAGTAAACAGCCAGCTTTGACTAAAACCCTCCCTGAGGGGAGCACAGCCCCTCTGCTCCCACCAGCACACAACACACCACGACTATCATCGCCTCACACCCCCTCCTGTTCATTCCCTGTTTAAAAGCAGACCTACATTCTGCTTTCTTCTCCACCCCTCCCCTGCCCCAACTATTCAGCCCTTAAGCTGCCTGCGTGCCTCAGTTTCCACATCTGGCAAAGACTGGGGGAGGCAGAAACACGGTTTGTTTTCCTTCATTAACAATGGGAAGGCCTTAATTTTTGCAAAGTACTACGCAGGGGAGCGGGGAGGGGAAAGTATATTTAGCAGGAAGCCTGGAAATAGCAGCTCATTCGTCAGCTGCCTTCGTTTGACAGTGTCACAACCCAGCATTTGGGAGACCATGACTCACTGCCATGGCTCTGTGCATGGGGGAAAGCCCAGCAAGGGCACAGCACCTCTTATAACAAAGTATTTTATAACTCTATTACCATCACCCCATGCATAAGCATCAGGACCTGTCCTCTGCTTTGTCCCCGAGATCATGGCAGTCAGTTCTGAGCATAAGAGATAAAGACTGAGCCTCAGTTTCTCCATTTCACAGAGATTATGACAGTCCCATCTAACACAGAACCATCTCTAAAACCAGCAAGGTC